ATTTCCACCCCCCACCCCACGCCCCCCACCCCGGATCAAGACAAAACCAGACTTAAGCTGTTGCAGCTTTTGAAGTAAACACTGTAAACTATGCTGCAAGACTACCACGAATTAAATGTGAGAAAAACAAACTAGGGGAAAAGCCGCAGTAGCAAAAGAATAGTTCATCCTCTTGTCATCCAACATCAATTATCTAACATAAATCATAAGCAAATTCAAAAATTTAAACAATAAAGAATTTAAAAAATTTAATTCTTTCCATCTCTGAAACTAGAAATTAATTTTCAATCTCAGACAACAGTGTTGGTTACACGAAAAGCACGGCATCTTAAAATATATACAGGGCTGTAATAAGACCACATTTTAATATTTCTATGCTGACTGCACGAACTCAACAGCTGACAATTTAGGAGGTAGCCAGAAATGTCTTTTGCTTCATGCCCTGTAAAGAACCTTTTTTGCAGGTGTCCTCTCCTCTCTGTCCATCTCAGCATCGTGACTAAACTTCCGTTTTGAAGATAATCGCCTGCGCTTCAGCGGCGATGGGGGAGTTGTGCTTGCTGTGCTGTTTGGATCCTTCTCATGAATCTTCATGTGCCTGAGCAGGAGAGCGAAGAAGACACTGTCAGCAGACAAATCAGGGTGGAAAGTCCACGTATATTTTAATGCCAACACCACTTCTAAGGTTTGCCTTTAAAGGATACCAGCAGAGATCCCATACACCGGACTGAACTTTTGAAAAACAGCTGGGGCACAATTCAGCACGGGCCTTTTGCAGCACCCAGGACCGTGTGGGGCTGCAGCAGGGAGCCCAGCAGCTCTCCCCGACACCCCAACCCACAGCACGCCACTTGCCCCGCTACCATTTAGCCCCATGAGCAGTGTGCCCGTCCCCCATCATCCAAGAGGCCCTGCTTCTGCCTAATCCTGCATAGTAACCTACACGCCCGACCTCCCAGTCTTGCGGCAGTCTAGGAAGTAAAAGCCTGCAGCTTAGCATCCACTTCTCTCAGGGCAAAAAAAGTGTCCCATCTTCAGCTGGCTCTTCTTTTACAGTTTCAGACCATACCCCAAATGGATCTGTATATGCCAAAGTCAGAGTAACACTTCTTAAATACATTTGTTTCCTTCTCATCCTTAAGACAGTGCCGTACCTCTATATCAAATTTCAACTGCAACTTTGAAGTCAAGATATATCTGGTCACATTGTTAAGCTGCATCAGGTATGGCTTGCAAAATTCTGTATTACCAAAGCATGTTCATAAACCTGCTTCCCCAGGAAAAGAACTCTTTCTTGTCACAAAGATACTGGAAAGGGGAGGGGGACAAAACAGCTCAGGAAGCAATCTCATGAATATCTGTATACCTGACCTGCTTGCCTTTTGGTTTTCCGTATTTGCAACTGGAGGAAGACACTGTCATCTAGTTCCCTTCACTCAGATGAGAGTGATTATTCCCATGCTGCTTCTTCTGAGTACTCAAAGCTCAAACTGTAAATTTTCTTTTTTTTTTTTTTTTTTAAATATAGGGCCTTTAGCCTCACTTCAAATTTATACTGCTTTTGAAAAAAATCAAATTTACGCTCCCACATGCAATGGAAATTTTTGCTTCTAATAGCTAGAAATGGGAGTGCAGGACAAAGTTGCCTTTTGTCCATAACGACTGACTTCAAGGCAGCACGAGGGAGACAATGTTAACGGCATTTGGGCACATCCTTCAGAAGTCACACCCACAACTCAGCTCAGGACCGTGCCATTTAACTTGACTGCATGCTATCATGTTCAAACATGAGAGAATGTTGTAACCCAGATGAGTCTCGTATGTCCTCATAACTGCTTGGGTGTTATGACATAAAATCCGTTTTAGTTTTGGATGCCAAGGCAGTGATGTTTCAAGATAACACACTGGACCAAACTGACCTACAGGCAGATTCCACTGAAGCTGCTGGGAGGACTTTCTCCTCACATAACACTTTTTTTAACGTTTCCTTTCACAACCGCTGAACTACTTTTTTTTTTTAAAAAAAAAGGGGCATCTAAATTCCCATCCCAAACTACAGCCAAGCTTCTGAGGGTGTTCTGTGGGACCAGCCTCAAGCCAAAAGCACCGCATGTACCAGAACCAATGCAAGATTAAAGTGGCTGTTCAGCTACTGCCTGCTTTCAACACCCAGCAAAGCTGGGGCTGCTTGGAGGACCAAGTCCACATGAGGAAAAACGTGGCTTCCCCAGATCCCCAGTAACCCTCACTGGTCACACAAATGGTGGACAGACACTGGTGACACCTGTCAGTCACACTGTGGGAGGTTTGAGGAGGAGACAGCATCTGTGTGCAGATGTGCCCAGCAGGTTGGGCACAGCATCACGGAAACATTGCTGAATTTGTCAATCGCCCGAGTGGGAGATGAAGGAAGGCTGAGGCTTTGAGGGTTTGGTTCTCTCCAGGTTCGCCAGGACCCAAGGTTAAGTTAGAGCACTGACACAGCCTCGTGAGTGCCGTGCCCTCCCCTGCCTTGGCCCTCTGGTAGCACTGCCACCATAGGTACCAAAGCTACCTGATTTATCTGCACAAATTCAGTGCTACCCAGTTTCACAAAATCTGCAGGGAAGGCATCTACAAGTACTGTATTGCCTCATTTTCTTTAGTCTTTTTTTTCCCCCTATGGCACTGATCTAACTTCTCATGCTAGCCAGAGCTTCCTATGGGTAATAAATCAAAAGCGTGAAGAGCAGTTGTCTGTACTCATGCAAGAATAAGAGAGAAGAAAACAGTTATTTGTTGAAAGGGTTTCTGTCCACAATAGTTGAAGATAAAACTCAAAAAGCATCTGGGAAGAATAAAACGTAGCATTCAATTGCACACGCAAAACAAAACCTGGAAGACGGTTTGTCGGTCTTTTTTTTTTCCTGTTTTTCTTTTTGGTAAAGACTGCTTTCCAGTTTTGATGATCTGAAAGTGAGACAGAGGCTTTTGCATGTGCCTGTCTGTCCCCCCACCCCAGACATACACACATGGCCTGCATGCTTAACCTTCTGGCAGCTTGGCTGATGCACAGCTAATATTACTTGGCCATTTACTTCTCAGACAGCTAGAGGGTAAAAGCAGTCAAGCTAAATCACGTTCACCCAGAAAACAAACAAACAGCAAAAAAACCTGCTATGCATTAAGCATGGGACTTTTTGTTCCTATTTTCTTTTAAAGTCTCTTTTCTGCCTGTAACAAGTATGCAGAACTCCTGTTTAGCAGCTACCTATGCAAAACAGCTTCCTTAGGGCTAAGTTCTTTCCTCCTGCTATTTGTCCACCTGTTGAACTTTGCCTGTTTCGATGGAGGTGCTCGTACTTGAGATGGGTGCGATGGCACATCCACAGCATACCAACAGCAGGAACTGTTGAGACCTCCAGGTTAGCGCCAGTCCAACCTGGCACCTCTGCCTGGTGTGACCTAATGCATGCAAACAGCCTGGCTCCTGCAAGTCCCAAAAGCAGTCCAGTCATGTTTGCAATATGACATACACTAATAAGGCAGGGCTTGCTAATGTGGGTACTGCACCACAGTGACGGGGCTTTGCTACGTCTGGTGTCAAAGTCATCAGCCGCCCCCAGCTTGCAGTTCTCCTTCCTGCAACACGCGCCGTACTGCCATCACCTAAAAGGGAGAGCAGAATCCGTACCCACAGCAAGGAATGTGGTAATCCCTTCATGTTTTAGTTTTGCATATTTGAAAGGAAGCAGCCTCAGCTATCGAGCCATAAACAGGAAGACACTCTGACTGCACCTTTGACTTTTACTGTGTAGGTCAAACATCACAGCCACTGTGATAGTTCTCTGCATGTAATCATCAAGGAAAAAAGAAAAATCTGAAACCAAAGCAGCAGGTTCCAGAGCTCTCAAGGAGAGTCACAACCTGTCCACATTACAGCCAGCAGGTTTGTTCCTTTGGCAGGTTAAGCTAGTTTCACTACATCAAGTCAAGGGTGGAGAGGAAAAAGATTACTAGAGCTACAGCCCAAGATAAGCGGGAAGATAAAGCCCAGTAGCACAAAGGATAGACACAATCTTCATCTCTTTTACTTTGCAACATGGATGTCATTCTGCCTCGAGAAAACATGTATCGCCCAACTTGGGTTGAACTGCAGCAGATGCCAAGTCACATCCACAACCTTTCTTTTAAAGTAAAACACTCCCTTCACCAAGGTTTCTTTTACTTAAAAAGTTTCCTAACTATAATTAAGGGGGGGGAGGGGGGAAGTATTTATTTTGCCTTATCCTGCTTTAGAAGAGTTTGCCTTGATTAGATCTTACATGTAACGCTAAAAATGCTCAACCTCACTGTTTAGCCTGCCAAGGCACAAGGAGAACAGGAACAAAGCTGTGCTTAGAAGTGATTTTCCCATTGTGACTATAACAACATATTTTGGCCTGACAACACTGGCATACTTTGAATACAAAAGTCAGGCTCATAAGTGAGCCTGGCTTTCAGCATCTTATAATGATAAAGGAAAACGGTAAGACATTCATCAATTCCAAAAAATAAAGATAAACACTCAACACTTTAAGTGAGAATGTAGTGCAAAAAAAGCAGGGCAAAATAAGGCCATGCACAGAAATGCTCATATTCAGCCACAGATGCAAGTTACAATAACACTTGCCAACAGCTCTGAAGGGACCACTACTGCAGCTCAGAAGAGAGGCAGAGCCACAGCGGATGAAACGTGACTTTTCTTTCTTATTTAAATCAATGAATTGTGGCTCTGAGCCATCCTACAGAGCAACCCAAAACCAGCAGACAAGCGCAGGAAGGTACAGAGCCCTGAAACCTGCACTTCATATGCTGGATATTAGTCTCCCCAGCATGCATGCAAGTATACGTACACTTGGACAGTACTGAGGGTGGAACACTAAAATGCAACCACCATACACAGGATGAAAGGAAGGAGATAAAAATTGGAGCTTAGTATTAGGGAGGACTCCCTTGCAGTAAGTGCTAGCTAGCCTTGATTAACCTCTCAGAGAAAGTGGTGGAACTCTATTTAAAATGCGACCACAGAGCCAAAAGAATTTGCAAAGGATGATCCCAAAATGGAAAGAGGAAATTAAATCTTTTCCAAACAAGGTCCGATCCACCTCTGAACTAAATTCTTAACGTTTGAGAACTGCTATGCAAAAAATGCAGATAACTTGCTACACGCTATGCTTTTCGCAGCACAGCTGTATGTGAAAAAGCTCTCCTTGTAGTCTCTTTCCTCCCCCTCGCACAAGGAATTTCACAGGTGAGCCAAAAGGATCCAACTGTGCTAGGACTGTGTGCCAGTCAGCCCTCCTGACAAAATCACATTTTTCAAGTGCTTGACTGCCTTTCATTCCATCTTCCCCGTGAGAAACACCTTCCGCTTCCCCTCTTCTGCCACAACTTTCCTCTCTCCTCTAATGGTCATGTGAACAGGATGACTAAGATGATACTGCACAAGAATTCCCCCAGCTTCTTTTTTTTTTATTATTTTTTAAAATAAATGGGCAGAAAAAGCTTCCAGCCCCACAATGTAATGCAGAGTGTGATTTCAGAAGGGTGACTATTCCATCAGAACAGTAGCAAGTG